GCTAAAAATCAAAACTATTGTACTGAACAGCAGCTGATGATTGATTACTGCTCCTTGAGGGAGTGAATAGGTTTGGGGAGCTTCCTTAAGAATGTTTCTTAGTCCTCTTAGAAAAAGTTATGGTAAAATGTCAGTACCACTAGGGGGCACAGAATTATAATGGAATTTTCTAGTACTCAAAGGAGAGATTCTCCTTATTGAAACTGCTTAACAAACACAGTTTCTAAATATATAGTTCAATCAAGATCAAAGAACTATATTCAAGTTACTTCCAGAAAGAAGTGTTTAAGTAGTTGGTTGAAAGAGAGTAGTGCTGTCATACCAGTATGTCAGAAAAAAATGAAATCAGGTGTAGCCAAATACAGTGAACTGGGTTCTATGAATAAAATTAAATGGAGTGTTAGGGAGAGCAAAATGTAAATGTCATTTCAAGAAACTGACACTAAGACTTGGGAATGTTTTAAGATTTTCAATACAATAAAAGTATCTATACAGAGAAGCCTTTACTTCTGCTGGGAAAAAAAAATGAACAGGACTCATTTCTATGTCTAAAGTAATATCACAAATTCTACTTTAAACAACTAATAGAAACTTTGCGATATTTTTCTTTTGGAAAGAGAAAATCTGATGATTATTGATACACAAAACTTGGCTTAGCTTTTTATTTCAAAAGTTAATATATATTTAGTAGTTAAAATGTGGTTTTGTTTTAATGGGGGGGGAGCTTTATTTTTGCTTTCAACATCCATATATGTGAGTATTGTATAAGTACTTAAAAGTTTTGAAACAGGGCCCTCCCTGGTGGCGCAGCGGGTTAAAGCACTGCACTAAGAAGCTAAAGCCACTTCCGCATGAGTTCGATGCCTGCCTGCCCCAGAGGTGACCACATGGCATGGCAGACCTCTCCTGACCGGCCCGCTGCTCCCCTCAGCAGTGTACTGCGTTGATCTGCCTGTTCTGCTCCCCACTCTGTGTCCGGTGAATCCTCTCACCCTCCGGATCTCTGGCCTGTACCCCAGTTCTGTATAAATAAGTAAATCTTTAAAAAAAAAAGTTTTGAAACATTGTTTACTTTGTCAGTACTTCAATTTCTTCCCCTATAAACTGAGTATGATTTTAGTATCTGCTTATGAAGTTATTATCAAAAATCAAATGAAATAATTATTGCAAATTACAGTGTCTAGCACCCAGTACCCATTTACAGTTATTTTCTCTGAGAATGGTGATCAGCACGTTACTTCAGTAATTCCTAGAGAAATAATACTGATAATAGTTGAAATGAAAATGATAAATATTTTGAGTCCTTTCCCCAGTATCTGCTCCCTTATCAGCCTTTCTTTGCATCCATATAAACTCATACTTTTGAGCTTTCTGCATTCTTGGAACAGAATTTCTTCTGATAGGGGTCATGCCTCCTCCTTCATTGTGTGGGACAGAACTGGGATCCCTACTGTTTTAGAGTCTTCATGTAATCTAACCAAGCTTGATCTTTGATGTTGCCCTGGGTTCTTGGCCAGTTTCTGCTTTATGCAGAAACATCTTGAGGAGCTCAAGTTCACATCCCTTACATATAGGAATTCTTGACTGACTGAGTACAATAATGATACATTAAAAATAGTAAGACGAGAGAAATATTTTTACTGAACTAGTGGTTCTAATAAGATGTCTTACAAACACAATGATAGTTGCCACCCTTATTGATTTTCTTTATGGCTTGATAGGTGGTAATTGAGAGCTAACCAAAAAGGGTGGTACAAGCTTGACAACATTGTATTCAAGAGACTTCAATTCTATTCTAGGTTTATACCCATCAAAGAGTTGAGCCTTGGGCAATTCACGGAAGAGCAGCTAAGAACAAATTACCATTTCTTCATCTGGAAATTTCCTTTTTGCTCAGTGGTTAGAGGATTCCATTTACCATTTCCATTCTGGTTGACCTAGGAATCTCACAATAGAACAAAGTGCATTAATATCACTGAAAATTGTCATATCACTCATTAGTTAAGAACCATGAACATAAGTTAGTGGGAAGCTGTGGTGAGGTAGTAAGACTATGTGAAAATGGGGAGGCATAGAGAAGGAAAAGGGGAACATAATGGAATTTCTGACATTCTGGAAGCCAGCTCAGATCTAGTTATTCTGCCTTAAATGTCTTTTATGGCCTCTTATATAGAATTTTCAATATTTCTGTTTTAGAGTATCCTTCAGAAGAAAAATTTAATGGAATAGAAAACACTAAAATATTTCTAGTAACTATTTTCAGTTGAAGCCATTTCCATGTTGACTTTAGAGAATAAAAGTTTCCAACATCATAAATTTCAGTTAGGTATCTTACAAAATGTGCAGAGAATGGTAGAAATCTCCAAAACATATAGAGGGCTAGTCAATAGTATAATGCTCTATACTAAGCAGTATAATTTGTCTTTGAAAAGGGTGGTTATCCTTTGCCTTTTATACGTCTTTATGATGCTCTAATGCAATTATTATCCACAGAAAATGAGACTATGCTAGTCTACTCTTCCAAGTATGCCTACCTTCTCCTCTGATGTTTAGATTCCAGTATTTCAGCAAAAAGAATAAAAGGCAGTTTCCTAGCAACATATGTATTCAAAGGCACGACAACAAAACTTAATCACAACACTGTTTTCCCCACAGTTAATTCTTGCCTTTAGAGGGATGTTAGCGAGGTACTTATAGAGAACTGGTGGGAGAGACCATGCAGTCTCTGCTGGTTCTTCTTCCCCAAGCTTGCAAGGGCAGAATGGTTAGAATTTGCAGGCAGGTAAAAGCCACTTTCCCAGTGGTAGTAGGCAGAGACAACTGAAATAAAACCATGTGCTCCTTTGTGCACACTTTGTTGGACATGCGCACTGCGGTGTGGGAGACTGAACTGACAGGAGATTGCAGGCTTCCTAGTATCCCAAAAACACGACCTGTGTGAACTCTTAGGCAGGTCTCCACTGGGTTAGCTTTCTAATTGGAGGTTACTGTAGAAGAGATGACCCCAAAAGTCCTTCCCAGCTTTAAACGCTGCTGATTGCCACATCTGATTTTTTTAAAGTGTCGTGTCATTTGCATAATCAACATTACGATGACACTAATATTAATCCTACACTCAGGACAGTATTATTGGAAAATTAAAAGCTGGTTTTCTTCCCAGAAAACAAGTCCGTATCCTGTCTTCCCAAGACTTTCTGCATGCAAGCTGGGCCCAGCAGCACTGAGGAGGTGGAAGTGACCTCACCTATCCAGTCGTGCTGGTTTGCAATAAGGAAAACCTCTAGGTGAAAATTAAATAGTTTTTTGTTTGTTTGTTTGTTTGTTTGTTTGTTTTTTGCCTGCAGAAAAAGCAAGTTTCACGCGTGCACGGGAGTCGTTTTCCGTTTTAGGTCTTTCACCCTGAAAGTCCCTGCACAGAAACTCCGCGGGGAAGCATAAATATAGCAACAGCAAACATCCCCCTCCCCATCCGCCCTTGAGCTCAACCTGGATCTCCGCGCAGCTCTAGGATTGGAGAGTTTGCTCCAGGGCGCTTTCTTCATCTGCTGCGAATAGCAGGGCACAGAGCAATCTCTCTCGCACCTCCACACTGCGTGGGTGTGAAGTGTATTAGGGGAAAGCGAGAGTGACTCTGGGAGCCACTGCTTGGTGGAGCAGTCTTGTGGCAAACGTTCCAGCTGCATCAGCGGCTAGGGCTAGGAGCTAGCACCAGTTACCCAGAGGCAAGGGGGAAAGGAGGCAGGGATGCAAGTTCTTACAGGTGACGAGGAACCGGAGAGGATGCTTCTTGAGAACAACTAGCGATACAAAAAGTAAAAGTAAAGCACTTAAATGGAGCTTCTGCCAAAAGGAGCTGCCTAGGGCGTGGGTGTATGCACGGGAGGGAGTTAAGAGCTGAGAGAGCTGAAATAAGAATTTTGCCTTAGTACTGTCCTGGTTTTAGTCTTCTGTAAGGAAAAGAGCACGTGGGATCACCACCTTGCAAAGATGCGTCATGGCTAAGAACTAAGTGGAAGCTTAGTTCTTTCAGTTTTCTTTCATACTGGGGGGCAATTGAGAGGGGACCCACTCCGTTAGAAGTTCGCAAGTCTGGCGTTCTTTCAGTTTCCTGTTTCTGACAGTGAAGTCGGACTGCTTGTGCTTTACAATAAAATACTGCTTAAGGCCAGAGGCCACCAGGAGTTGTCAGAAGTGACAGGAGAAATAGTCAGTGCTAACTAGCAACAAGTTATTTGCCGCATAATTTACAGCTGGGGAGGGGGCGGGGAGAAGCCAGTGTCCTAAGCGCTCCAACCCTCTAGGATTTTTCTCCCAGACACTGGCAGCCACCACCGCCACTGCTGAGACTTCACAGTTTTATGACTTTCTCGGACTTAAATGGAAATTTCTTGACTGAGTGAATCCGGTTCGTTCGCCCAGGCTTCGCGCGGCTGTCAGGAGGGTGCTCCTTGACCGTGGAAGGTCCCCTTTGGACTTTCACGCCCTCCCCACACTCCACCCCCGAGTGGGAAGATGTCCAGTTGCTCGCGGGCTTGCTGTCTGATGCTGGGATGGAAAGTCACAGCCCGCAAGCTGAAGTGAGTCGCGAGAGCTGCCGGGTCCCCCCAGCCTCGCCAGTGTGGCGGTCGCGCTCAGAGGGTCTGCACGCTGACCTGCACAAGACTCGCCAGCTGCGTGGGAACCCAAGCGCCACTACCTGGAGCGTCGGCCCGCGCCCCCGCTTGGGGGCTGGTTGGTACCTGAAAAGCAGGGCAGGGCCGTGCCGCTCACACCCTTCGCGGAAGGATGGCAGGACCCGGCCCGGCAGCATAGCGGCGGGAGAGCGCCGCATCCCCCGTGTCTCGGGTCGGCTCCAGGCTGACTAACCTTCCGGACAGCTTCCCAGCCCCAGGGAGAGCCGAACCAAACTCGCGCCTCGGGTCCCCTCCGGGGGCGGAGGGCAGACGCAGCCTGGGCGTGGAGAGCGGAGGGGGAGAAGCGAGGGGGAGCGGGGGACTGGGTGTGCGCGCGTAGGAGCGCGCCTCTGAGCGCTCGGCGCTCCCCCGCCCCAACCAGGGGCACTTCGCGCGGAGGGAGCCGTAGCCGCGGAAATAAGAGGGAGCGAGAGAAACCCTCTCAAAGTGACGTCCCTAACAGGTCCCGATTTCGCTTTCGAAGCTGAAGGCAGCCAGAAATTGGGACTCCTGTGCCTCCTCCGCACACCCGGGGGGTCCCCCCACCCCCGCCCCGAATCCCCGGAGGTTTGCCGCTCGCCTGCTTCCCGCCCCCGGCTCCTAGGTCGCGGGCGGCGGGCGTCCCGTCAGCCGCGGCTTCCTCTTAGACACCCGCCGGCGCGCATGAGGCCGCTGCCCCCGCCGCAGGCACTGGCGCCCCCTTCGCCGTGCCCGTGGTGATGCCATGCCCCGCCACCACGCGGGAGGAGAGGAGGGCGGCGCCGCCGGGCTCTGGGTGAAGAGCGGCGCGGCGGAGGCGGGCGGGGGGCGCCTGGCCAGCGGCATGAAGGATGTGGAGTCGGGCCGGGGCAGGGTGCTGCTGAACTCGGCGGCCGCCAGGGGCGACGGCCTGCTGCTGCTGGGCACCCGCGCGGCCGCGCTCGGCGGTGGCGGCAGCGGCGGCGGCGGCTTGAGGGAGAGCCGCCGGGGCAAGCAGGGGGCCCGGATGAGCCTGCTGGGGAAACCGCTCTCTTACACCAGTAGCCAGAGCTGTCGGCGCAACGTCAAGTACCGGCGGCTGCAGAACTACCTGTACAACGTGCTGGAGAGACCCCGCGGCTGGGCGTTCGTCTACCACGCGTTCGTGTGAGTACCCGCGACCCCGTAGACCCCTAGCCACGCCCGCCCCAGGAGCCGGTGTGACGGGCCCCCCGGCTCTCGCTCAGCGCCCTTTCCTTGACCGGGCCTGAGCGTGCACACACACACACACACACACTCGCGCGCGCACACGTGGTGGCTTTTATTTCTTTGCACGTGTTTTTGGTCTTCCTCCAAGAGCTTTCTACCTCCCACAGCTCCCCCTCTCCCAGCTCCCCAGATTGAATCTTCGCCCCAAGCTCGCCAAACGTGCTGCGGGGCAGCTTCAGGCACCGCGGGCGAGAGCGGGACAGTCGTGGGACACAGGCAGTGCGGATAATTGGGAGTGATTAGGTCCCGAGATATGTAAACTTTAACCAAATGGGGCGCCCGGGAGCTGGGAAATGCAAAGGGACACGGGCGCCGGCGTGAGGCAACGGAGCTTGCCCTGAGGAGGCTCGGAGGTGCTGGAGAGCTAGGACTGGGTGGAGAGAGCGGGAGCAGACCGCGGGGTACTAGGTTTTGGGGGCGGAGCTGAGGAAGCTGCTTCTTGCTGGGGTGAGCGACTAGGCTTTGCGAGTGCCCGGAAACATGCCTCGCCACCAACCCCAGCCACCAACAACGGAAAATCTGCCCGTGCACGAAGCCTTTCCTGCCACGAAGGTGGCCAAGGTCTTTAACGCGCAGGGCCGGGAGAGGCGACGCTCGGGCGTATAGACTGAAGCCAGCGGGGTGTCTGGGGTGTAGCGGCGCGGCTCTAGTGCAGTGGCAAACCCGCGGATGGGCCGCCTGGGACTGAGATCAGGCAGTGGGTTAAGTAGGCATTTGTGGCGCTGAGTCAAAGTGTGTGTGTGTGTTAAGTAAGCCTTCGCCATCTAGCCGAGAATGCTTAATGAGAAAATGATTGGAAGCAAATGTTTATTTTCCCCTTAGGCATTAAAAACCTTTCAGTGGCTTTAAAGTTTACTACTGTTTTTCCCACAACGTCCATTGATTGAGTCCCTTGTTAGAGACAGGTTAATCTGGGCATTTTAAGTTTATGTTTTATGCCGTTATGCCCCGTCAGAGTTACGGTTTTTTCTTCTCACTTTTGTCTTTTGAGTTCTTTTATTCTGCCTTTTTACGTTCAAATAAAATATAAATACGTCAGCCTTGGGAGACCTGTAGAGGAAGTAGCGAGCACTTACTGACACATTCCTTGTTTCCTAGTAAGTAGGTTTTAAACACGTGAGTTAGGTTTCTTTTTAAATGAGGCATGCTATCCAAACAGCTCTCACCTGACTTTTTTTTTTTTTAATACCATGAAAGAAGTGGTTGATTTGTAAATAGGTGAACCTGGAATTTGACCACTGTAGGAGTCAGGAAATTGGTAGAGTCTACAATCTGCGGGGCTCTGGTGTCTGGAAAATTTTACAGTCTCAGATTGATGTGAACATGTAGCATTAGGTAGAATGTTCCAGCCAACTTTCCGTCTTACAGTGTACACAGGGAGAACGTTGTCTTACAATACTGCTTTTGCAAAAAGTTTAACTTTTATTATTCAGTTATGAGAGATTCACGTTGATTTGTATGTGGTTGCTGTAATAAATGATAGATGAAGCGAAACACTACTGACACTGTTCCTGTGCATCCCCCTGAGTATCTTTATAATTACTTCTATTATCTAATCAGCCTGATATATTATTCTGCCCAGTCTGGATCTACTGAAATATTTAACACTAATATGTGTGGCAGCAGAATATACACTGTATGGAGATATGTATATTTTAGAAGAGTTTGTTCAGAATAGTCATAGCTTTGGGTTTACAATTTATACCACTTATAGTCTTTAATTTTTGGTAAATTATGCATTGTGTATTCATGACAGATTAGAGACATAATTGGTTTGTGTTCCTACTTTGTACCTCCTGTGTTTTCCTTTTACACGAACAAAGACTTTCTATAAAGTAGGTATTTTACCAGTAGGTTGGTGTTTAACAAGTTTTTGTGACCTTACAGAATCTTAAAATTTTTCAAGAGTTTGGGGTTTCAATAATTCTCCAGATTATAATTTATCGATGTCTTTAGTGGTAAATACAAAATAAATCATACAGTTATCAGGATGTGCTTAACTGAAGTGATGTATTATATACCTCTGGACTCTGAAACTGTAATGCTGCAGCAATGAGATAGGGGTGCTAGATCCACAGAAGCTCAAAGAGGGACTGGATAATATCATCTGAGAGGATTCTTCACAACTGTAGCTGATCCTGGGGGTCAGCTGATCCTTATGGTTTATTTATTTATTTATTTATTTATTTTTATTTCACAACAGTTTATTTTTACATCATTTTGTACATTTTTTTCCATCTCAGTTGTAATCCCCGCGGGTTTCCCATCACCAAGTCACCCCTGTGCCATCACCATAATCCCATGCACTTGCCTTCCACCCCCCACCCCCCCACCCCTGTTTTTGATCCCATTCCCCACTCCACCCCCGCAAAATGTCTCTGGTATATGGTTGTTCATTATTTTTGTTATTTTCCTGCCTGGTCCATTATACTTCTGCTATGAGTAAAACCATCCAGTATTTTTCTTTCTCTTTCTGGTTTATCTCACTAAGCATGATCTTTTCCAGCTCCATCCAAGTTGCTGCAAAAGACATGTGTTTCTCTTTTTTGGTTGCTGAGTAATATTCCATTGTATATATGTACCACATCTTTCTAATCCAGTCATCTACTTTTGGGCATTTGGGCTGCTTCCATGTTTTTCCAATTGTAAATAAAGCAGCAATAAACATGAGGGTACAAGTATCTTTTTCAATCAGTGCTTTTGTGTCTTTTGGGTAGATACCTAGGAGTGGGATTGCTGGGTCGTAGGTTTTTAAATGAAAATGCTTATGGTTTTTAAATGAACTTTAACATAGCTGTACTTTATGTATTAAATTTAAAAAGGAAAGTTATTTTCAGCTAACAGGACCCTTAATATTAAAGGAAATGATAAGAAAATGATTTCTAGAGCAGTGAAACTAACTAATTTCCTGCCATCCTGGGAATCCCCAAATCTTACTTTAATAACTGTTTTTGTGGCACATTAAGATTCTTGCCAAGAGCAAGTGCACTGTGATTAATGAGGTACTTTAGGGATGGATTTACTAGGTCGACCTGTGTTTACACTGCCAAGAAGCAAGAAAAGTACATTTAAGGTTATGTTCCAGATACACATTTCTGATAAATAAGCAAAAAAAATCATTATTATCATGGTATAAAATGTGATCTTAAGTGTTTCTAGCTTATTGATGAGATAACTGGCAAGAGCAACAGTTAATCTACTTAAGATATATTCATCCAATCTTTATAAATTGGTGAAGATTAATAGTGCTTGTTCTTATAGTTCTTTAGGATTTATCAGGCAGTATTGATTCCTGTCTTTGGCTGTTCTTTAGTTTACTAGATGAGCGATTCCAAATGACACATTTCTTTGAGAATTGTTCACTCTTAATCCCCCACCCCTTTTAAGGAAAAAATCGGAAGAATAATGGTGGTAATAGAGGAACACTTGATGAGGTTCTATAGATAAAATTTTGTAGGGGCAACAACTGTGGTTCAGAGAAAGAGTACAGGAAAGAGTGTGGCAGATGCATGTAACTCATCAGTTTGTCCAGGGTAGCTTTGCCTAGTATAATGCCATGGATCAGAATTTTTAGATATTTTAAACTATAAACACAATCATGTCACAAGAAGTAGGAAGCTGGAAGTCATTTTTGACACTTCAATCTCCTTGCTCACATTGGTCATCCAAATGATTGTTAAATCCTTTGTGTTCACTTTAAAGATTTTCACTTCTCTTCTCTCCTTTGCTACAACGCTATCCTTCTCTGTTTCTCAATGTCTTTCCATTGGATTATTTGAAAGACTCTCCTGCTTAATCACCTAGCTTCTGTTTTCAGTCTCTTAGCTTTGGTGTGACACCATAGAATTTTTCTTAAAATCAGTTCCCCTTTCTAAACTCTCTGTGATACTTCATTATCTACTCATTTATTCATTCATTTATCCATCTGCAACATTTGAGTTTCTACAATGTGAATTTTTGAATTAATAAGGTAAAGGCCTCCATTCTAGGGAGGGAAAGGACTGCAAAATGGGATGGCTGGCTGTAGGTTTATGATCAAGTGTGAGACAATGTGTTGATACTATCACAGAAGTAAACACAAAGTTAAAGGAAGAAGGAAGTGGAAATTAAGGTAGAAAAGCAAGCACAGACCTCAATGAAGTAGTGAGGCATGAACTCAGTTTTGACAAAATGAGTTAATTTTCAAGTACAAAAAGCAAGGGTGAATGAATAATATTTTCTTGGGCAAAGTTAGGGAATTGTAAATCAATACAGTCATTCTGGGTACTGATACATATTAATAATTGCAGGACAAAGATAGTCATAAGAAAAGAGGGCAGGTCAAAAAACACACATCCCTGACTGGATATTCTCAGATCCTAACCATGGAATTAAGTCTTCATCTTGTAATAATGGTCATTGAATGGTGATGATCAGAGGAATGTTGCAATTTAAATACAAATTTTGGTGGAAGATCTGGCTTTCATTGGTTGGATAATGAGCCAGAAGTATAACATGGAGTCAATATAGCTTGTAAAAAATAGAAAATGATACCATCTACCCAACTTTTTCTTTCACTCTTGTATTCTTTTAAGCATAAATTAATTCTGTGAATGACTCTTGTGTGCCATGATAGATGAGAGATGATGTGTGGAGGAGGAGTAGATTAATTAAAAATATATTAATGAGGTAGGTTGGCAGAATTTGTTTCCCATCAGTATGAGAAGAGTGATTTTGACTGGGGTGGTCTGGGGAATGTAAGCATTAATATCCAGGGAAAAGGGTTAGTGGCAAACTTTCAAAGCAATATATGTTCAGATTTGCACTTCATAAGTGTTATAATACATCTAGGTGGAGCTTGTAGGTAGTAAGAAAACATTATTGACCTAGACACACTTCCACTTTTCCAGTTGTTTCTT